AGAAGGTCAACTTATCCTGGAACGGATTTGGCCTGGAAGCTTCCACAGCCCTGATGGAGGCACTGAAAGCCAACAGTGTGCTGGAAGAGATTGATCTCACGTTAGTGTTTTTTTTTAACAAATCAGTTTTTCAGTGAGATAATTGGCACTTAATTTCTCCCCTGGTACAAGAAACTGAAAAGTGTATCAAGAAATGTCACGATTTACTAGAACAACAGTTTTTTTAAAACAAGGAATACGGTGTTCCATTGTTTTCTCAAGTCTTCCATGCTATGTGATTAAATGGATTTCAGACTTTGACCTAATTTAATGAGTGCTACCTTGTTTGGTACTTATTGAGGTAGACAATATTGATTGGCTTATGGTGATAAGAAGCCTATGGGTGAACAATTGAATGTAATCTCATCAAACATTTATTCAGAATAAAGTAAAAGTCATTTTCTACTAACCTATTATTTTTTTTGTACAGAAATAACAGAATAGTCACTGAAGGTGCTGTGCTGCTTGGTAAAGGACTCACCCTCAATGAAACACTTAAAGTCTTTAGGGTTGGTGGCATAAATACTCCCTTCCTCATACAAACAGTTATTTTATAAACATATGCCCCCTTCTAAAAACTGGGCCTCTGTCTTTGCACATCTGAGGCTGAGCCTTTTTTGTCAAATCATTTCTTGACTGGCCCTTTTTCAATGTCAAAGCAAAAGTCATTTATTCAATTATATGACTTTTAATTTTTATAAAGCGATCATGTTGTCACTTGGTAATAAAATAATCAAAATTTCACACTCATGTTGTTCAGGTGGTTCTTGTAGCTTTTATTTTTTTTTACAAAAAGAAACATTTAAATTAATTACTTGAAAAAGATAATTTGTATTTAAGTGAAATGGTTTGAAGCATGATTTAAACACCAGTGAAAATAAATTTCTGATTGAATTCAGGTTGGTAAGAATCCAATGCAGAGTGCAGGATGTTGGGCCATAGCAGCAGCCATTTTGAAGAATCCCAGCTGTATGCTGGAAGTTGTGGATTTTGCTGTGAGTAGGACTTATGAAACATTTTCAGTGTGCACCATGAAAAGAAGCAGTTGATATTTTAATAGAATATTTTTGCTTCCTTTGAAAATTGTTTGTGCTGATTCAATTTATTTTCTCATTAATGTTAAGCAAAAATATTAAAATAGTGTGCAGATATCATTTAAGAAAAGTTATGTAATGAAATAAACAAAAAGTTGATTATTAAAACTTTTAGAAAATGTTTACGTGCTGTTTAACAACATTTTTTCAAAGTTGATGCTGCTACTTCCACAGGATATTCTAGTCAACAAAGACTTTGTCACTCTTTGGAAGCAGGTTGAGGAACAGTTCCCCAAGCTAAAAATGTCTCATGGAGGTAAAAAGAAACTCTATTTGTTCTGTTGTTGAGCCCCGAACTCGCCCATTGACGCAGCTGAAATGTTGCCCAGTAATTGATGAGTCATTTCATTGAAAATGATTTTTTTCCCCCCAGAGTTTTACGAAACAGGGCGGCAATGTTGATGACAGAAGATAACAAGACAGTGTAAAAAAATGTGATCCAATCTGAAAATAAACCAGTAGAAAGTTCCAAATTTGTTCATGCCATGGAAAAGTGCGCCAATCGATATGTGGAAAAAAGTGCAATATGATTCAGTCACCCCTAATCTTTGTAAAGTACACGAGATGTTATAGCTTAATTTCACTATTAATGTTCAATGTAAAGACTATTTTGGTGCCCCATATAGTTGGTGCCAGAAGCAGGTACATACCCCCTCTCCTTTTACACAATCATAAATATATATTAATCTCCCACCCGACATTATTTAAATAAAAAATTCTAGATTAGCCTGATGGGAATGATTGCTTTTAATTAATATCAGTGCATCTGTAAAGCTGTTTTATTGGGTTGATCCACTTTCAGTGTCAATACTGTGCTTTTTTAGAATAGCCTTAATAAATTATTCATTTATTACTTTTTTCCTACAGGAACTGAAATGCCACTGAAGCCAAAGCAACGTGTCCACCCCATGGTGAAAATAACTGCTTTCATTACCTCCAACAACATACGACTGGTGGATTTTTTCAACAGGTTTGACAAAGATGGCAGTATGAATGTGAACAAAGATGAATTCAGACAGGGCTTATCAGTAAGTTTTAATGCTTTTAATAAATACTGTTCCTTTTTTTTGAGAGTCAACTGGATATTCAGTAAAGCAAAATATATTTAGAGGGTTTTGTCAACCAAATATTGAATATTATCTAAAAATCTTTAAAAAATATTGTTATTCTTTATTCCTATCTTTCCGCAATGATAAATGTAAAAAAAAATGTTTTATGATAAATTTAATTTGTCCACAAAAGGTTTTATTTTCTGGAACAGTTTTATTGTTTGAAATAATTATTTCATCTTCTATAATACTTGCAACTTTTCTTAGAAGTTACTACTTTCCCCTCTTAGAAAAGGTTTAAAACCATTTTGGACTGTAAATAAATATTTGATAAATAATCCTACCACAATTAGATTTATATAAACTTATTTATTTAGTAAATCCCATGATTATGATAATGTTGAGTTATATTTTAGAGACAAGATCATCTCACGATTAGCTGTGTTCTTTTCAAATTTAAAGATACAGTTCTCCCTTCTGACCTAATTATTGTGTCCAATTGTTATGTTTTTATTTTACTTTAATTTCCCAGCTACTCATTAAGGTAAATGTGAAATATTTCTTGAAGCATTTCTACTTTCAAACCTTTCTCAGTATAGTTTCATCTCTGCTAGATATGTATGTGTTAGATCTTTTTGCATTGAGTCAATGTGTTTTTCATTTTAACTTAACAAGGTAGAATTCTAGACAGTTCTAGGATTTCTGGGGGAATAAAAATGGGAAGTTGGAGTAAGATGGTCCATGAGGAAATCTTTCTTTAATTTAATTGTGGTCTATACATAAATATAATCCCCCCCCCCCTCCCACCTTTTCCCTACCAATCAGTTAATCTGTTAACGCTGCACAATTTCTCATTATTTAAAAACAAATTATATTGTTATTTACATTGTCAGATACTTCAACCTAATATTTTCCTTTGATATTTAAGCCATCTTACTGCAAGACAAAACTCTTTTCTTCATTTCAATATTTTATAACTGTATCTATCTTATCAGTCTATCTTCCCATTATTATGTAACTAACTGAATCTTTTATCTCTTATTTCTTATTCACACTGTGTCCTTAAAATTAGTTCAAGTGTTTTAGAAATGGTTACTTTAAAGTATTAGCAGCCTTGCAATAAACCTGTTAATGTACACGTAATAATGGCAACAAAAAACCCCAAAAATTATAGAATAGACTTGTTATTTAATGTGTATCACGGCCTTTCATAGTGTTAATTCATGTTGTACTCACTTTAGTTATATATATTTTTAATTTTTTACCATAATTCAAGTGTATTTCATTACAGATTTATTTTTAAAGAAAATTAGACTATCATTTTTTAAAAATAAAATTTGGCTTTTTGTGTGTAATGACAAACTGTTAAGTAAAGCTGTTTTAAATTTGAGCAGACAATAACTTGATTTAAAACAAAATGCTTTTCTGCATTAAAGATCTGATTCACTTAAAGCTGACATATTACTTCTACCTACATCTGAATTAAAGTTATTAAAATATTTATAAAAAGCAGCATGTCTAAGTAAAACCATTACAGATTTAAATTTCTCCTCCAACGTCCAAGTGGGACCCTCTTAAGCTTTTAGCTAACCAAGAAATGCTGATTTTTTTCAGGAGACTGGTATTAGTCTTACACCTGAAGAAGTGGACATGTTGGTGGAGGAGCTGGATGTCAACGGTGACGGAGCAATCAACTACAGGTCTGTATTCAGACATTCAGTTACAAATAACATTGGTACAATCAGGATCTAGTCTGCCATTTCTCTAGCGATGTCAGGGGTTAAGTGCTTAAATATTTGTACATTAAATGTCAGCATTTTCACACGACGCTAGCAGCACGTTTAGTTTAGATTGAGGGGATTAGCCGTTATTTTATAAAACTAAATACTTAACATGTAGATCATCAGCAATTCATGTAGGGTTTAAAAAAAAAAAATTCCCTTGAGTGTTATATGCCAGGGATAATAATTTCAAACACTTTAACATGGTTTTGGTAGATTATTATTATGCATCAAATTCTGTTTCTGATACAAGCCTTGTAATTTTATCATTAGAACTTTACCTCAATGTTTCATAATTTTATAGACCAGGGATAAAAATTTCAAACACTTAAACATTCTTCAGGTGCTCACCAGTTTCTGATGCTTGCTTTGTATTTTGTCAGAATTTCATCTTAATTAATGTTTCATAAAGTATGATAAAGTGCATTTGCCTAAAAGTTTCTTCCTATCCTACAGTGAACTGGCTGTTGGGAAAACAGATTTTGAGGATAAGCGGAAGAGGATCAGTGTCCACACCACACTAAGACCGATGACATCATAAGAACAACAGTATTGTCCAGAGTCATCTCCACAGTATTACAGAATTGACAGTAGTGACATGTTGATTTTGTTGTGACCAAGGGTACATCCTGCTTTATATGACTTGTGCACTGTGTTTATCGTCTAGCATTTATTCATTTGAAAATTGTGTAAAAAAAAAATATAAAAGAGCTCTCTGCACTTTTACTGAAGTTATTTGTAAATATTGACTTTTAAAAAAACAAGATAATTAACAGGGTTTTTTTTTAGAGATTATGGGTATTGAAATGCAGCTAAAATATCTGTTGAAAAATTGCTGCTGCCTGCATCTCCTAAAGGAGTCTATTTTAAAATCATTAATTAACTATGCATTCTAAAATTAAGTTAAATTATGATACATGTTACTAGCATCCAGTTGATTATTGCTAACAGATATATATTAATTTATTATAAAATTACACTAAATAAACCAAAAATATCACTTGCATTCCTGTCTTCATTATCATAAGTGCCTTTGATATTTAAATAATATTATCTCTCTAGAAATAACACTAGGTACCGTATTTTATGGACTATAAGACGCTACGGACTATAAGACGCACCTTAATTTTTAAGAACTAAAAAAACCCAAACATTTTTACCATTTTTATCTTAATTTCGAGTAAAAGGCGCACCTGAATTTTGGAGGCAATTTTTAAAAGAAAAAAGTCTGTCTTACAGTCCCTAAAATACCGTATTTTAAATGTGCAGTTTCAATAGATGAGTATTTTTAAATCAGCTGTATAATACAAAGCAATAGTATAATTATATTTTCAGCAACATAACAATCAATTTAATCACAATGTTTATTTAGAAATGTTTGCATCCTGAAATCACAATATTGAAAAAAAAAATTTATTGTCTATCTTTAAATTCCCATTAATTTATTTCCATGTATTTATTTAAATTTTCTTGTAAAAAAAAAATCTGTTTTACTTTGTACTGTATTGAATTTATTTTTACACATGAAAATTGTAAAATTAAGATCATCTGAAGATTTTCTGATGTATCTTGAAAGGTAAATAAATATAAATTGAATAAAATGCCATCTATTCTAAACAATAAATGTTCTTTGTAAGGGTACATCATAAGGGTAAAAAAGTACCATAATGATTATTATCCATTTCAATATGTATTTATCACATGTATATCACTGTCAATGGTTCTGAGCTAATTTGTGTTTACAGATATAACCCAAGAGACTCAATAATAATCCCAACGAACTACATGACCCTGGCCAACTGCCCTATCCTTAAAAATGTCATGAAACTTTTTTTGTTTATAACCACTTTGCCCGACACTTGGCTGTTTCATTGGATTGATCCACTTTCAGTGCTGTACTAAATAAAAAGCTTTTAATATCCCACTGAAATGTAATCCCACTGGCATATTTTGCATTAGCTGTTTAAATTGTGATGACTGACATTGTCAAGGGAGTCATTATCACCAAACGCCAAAGATCCTTTCTTAATCGCAAAATGTACACCTCTACATGTCCAGGTCATGTGGCTGGTTTAGCCAGGTGGTCAATGACTTCCCTTCTAGTGCCAGTGAGCAATGTTTTATTTTCTTTTTACAACACTCCATCAACTTACATCTCTTAAAATGAAAGATAATATACGTGCAGGTAATGTCAGTTAACACTATATATATGTATATTTTAACTGCACACAATTTTTTGCTATCCTACTCCTATGGCGGTGTTACTGACATAACTAAAACAGGTAATTCAAATATAAACTTCCAACAGTGATTGAATAAATGAATTTATGAAAAGAAATTTACCCATAATTCATAGGTGATAGGAGGAAAATAAACTTTTTCTTTCACAATGTAGGAAACACCCACATCCTCATTTGTGTTTTGTTATTTTTTTAAAAACTAAATACCGGTACATAACATGCAGATCATCAACAATCAAGCTGGGGTTCTTTATTTAAAAATTAGCCATGAGTTTTATAGACAAGGGATTCTCAAACTTCAATCTTTTGGGGGATTCTTTTCTTTAATGTATTATTAGTCATGACACCCATTATAATAGCTGGTGTGTAAGTATCCTTCCCATTGCATATTTAGTGCCAAATATAGCTTCATGATTTACATGGACTATTTTGTAAAATTTTTTGCCAAGAGAATGAATACTTCTCATTTTATTATTAAGATGAAATATTATTATTATCTCTACTGAAATATTTTTAACATATTATGATTCAGTCGTTGGATCTTTAATCTCTCTCCGTGACAGAAATGGTGAAAGATTTTGGTTTGATGACACAGTCATATTCTGCTGTTAGCGGGAAGCCCTGGTCGGCCGATATTGTCAGCTGTTGCATGATGGTTGCAAAGAAAAGAAAAAGCACTACGTCGGCCAGGCCTTCCCCAGGGCACTGCCGCCTGCCTGCTCCATATGGGATAAAGTGGTCTGGGATTTCTAGCACTTTCTCCTTATTGATGAACCTAAAAAAAAATTTGAACAAAGAGAATTTTAAACATGACACAGGATATTTTATTATTATTTTCATATCCCTGAACTGTTTAACAATTATTAAATTTACTTGTTTATGGATGCTTCTTGAATCCTTAAAACAAATATACCTACTTTGAAGCTTATCAATAATTAAACAAACTTAATATTTTGGGGAAACTTAATTCCTGATAAAATTATAATTCATCCATTCATTCATTAGTTTTAAAACCATAAGGTATGGGTTGCTCCTTGGTTGCAAACTGCTTTCCCTGCCTTGCCCGCCAGATGGCAGAGCAGGTTGCAAGCCAGCAGGTTGCAAACCATCAGGTTTGGTGCAACAAACATGAGGCTGGCATATTCGCCAACCTTTTCTCTTCAAGCAGTGAATTTTTAAACTGCGGAACTGTACTGCTTGCACATTTTTAGGGCAAAAAGTATTTTACTAAAGACGTTTCAAAGAGATTGACGCCACGTACCTTTTGGGATTATACTGGTATGGGTTTTTCCACAACTTAGGATCATGGTGAAGTCTCCAGATGTTAAACAATATGATGCTGCCTTTGGCAATGGGATACCCTTAAAAAAAATGACAGCGAAGGGAATAATTTTTTTTAGTTGGTTTGAGTCTCACCATTTCAATATCTGCCACATCTATCCCTGTCAGGGTATAATGTTGTTTTAATTAATATTTAACTCTACAGTACGTAGTGGTAGGTCTAGAAAAACAAGTGGTGTAGCCAGAATCAGAAAATAAAGTATTGTGTCTTTTTAAAAAAAATTAAATATCTATCCCACACACTGAATGTTAAATGTTTATTTTTGCATTGTCGTTCGCACCTTTCTTCCCCTGGATTGCTATAGGTTGTGAATTATAAATGAAAATCCATAGCTTAATTATATCAATGAAAATCCATAGCTTAATTATATCAATGAAAATCCATAGCTTAATTATAACAATAAAAATCCATAGCTTAATTATATCAATAAAAATCCATAGCTTAATTATAACAACATTGTTAATTTTATTTGGGGGTGAAATTGCTGGGGTACTTTAGAGCTGAATGGTTAATCCATGACAAAGTTATAAACATTCTTATAGTTGGACATTGATTAAAAAAAACACAAAACTAAATTAACTAACAAGGATCCTGCATATTCCTGCTCTAATGTTACTACCTTGCAAAAAGGTGTGCTGGACAGCTGAATGGGGCAATAAAAATGGATAGATTGTGGCTAGCCTCAAGGACTCGTAGATGGCTGCCGTCGTCAAGGGGAGGAAAGGCTGGTCCTCAACCCCTGGGAGTCTGTCGTGACCTATCACTGAGTCCAGCTCTTCCTGGATCTGTCTTTGTATCTTGGGGTTATCTGCCATGTAGCCTAGCAGCCATGTCAATGTTACAGCTGTGCCGTAGTACCCGAAGGTCAGGGCGTCCAAGAGGAGGTAATCCAGGTCCTCTTTCCCCAGTAGACCAAAGTCTTCACCATTGTCCACATAGAGCAAGAGGTGGTCAGCCATGTCTCGTATGTGGTTAACATCATAGGAATCTTTATGTATGTTCAAATACTTGTGTTGAACTGCCAGCTGGACCAATGTACGGTTCTGACGAATCAACAAGACAAATTAACATCAAAAAATTATTTAAGCTTCAACTGTAATTATTTCAGTTTCAGCTCTAAGGTTTAAAATTGTAAGAATTTCTGAGGATATGCAATGTATATAACATCAGTGTGTAAATGATGGGAAATTATGTTAAGCAGATAAAATTATGTCACGTGCTCTGAAAAAACGTGTTATGTAAATAATTCCAGTGTGTACATAATTGTGGCAACAAGAGCAGACTATAGTTGTATTGTGATACACTTGAGCTAAACAAACAAACAAACAAAAAAGCAAATAAATACAGAAAAGCTCTTTGCTGTTATTCAATAATGAAAATTAAATTTGGAAATTGCTAAAAAATATATGTTTTGGTGTGACTTTTCAGTTTATTAAAAATTTTGTCATAAAAATTAACATAGACAAACACTTGATACCATCCACAAAATAATAACCATTAAAAGCTTACTATACCTGAATATACTCCCTGTAGTCATCAGTCTTAAAGATCTTGAGCAAGGGACAGAAATCCACGGAGTTGAAGTGGAGTGCTTCTCTCCTGTTCTCTACTGTTGTTAGAGTTTCTTTCATGCGACTGCCCTGTGGATCCAGCCTCTGGTCAAACACCAACCTGAAATTATTAGGAGATGGAGTATAGAAGAGTAGGATGAAACCGTCTTTTAATGAGTGCGTTACTCAAAGCGTGGTTGAAATAGTAGAACTTCACAAACGATTGGCTGAAATCAATCAACTTCAAAAATGATTGAAATCAATCATCTTGACTAATGATTGGCTGAAATCAATCAACTTGACAAATGATGGGCTGAAATTGATCAACTTGACGAATGATTAGTTAAAATCCAACACGTTGAAAAGTGAGTAGTAATAAATAATTAAGCACTTTTACTCAGCGTATGACTGTCTTTAAAATTTTTTTTAGTGTTAATAGCATGATAACTAAGGGATCAAATAGGTTAAAATTTTTTAACCATCTACATGAGAAGTCTGAGGTTCAAAAAACTGTTAAACCAAAAAAACCCACCTTACCTAAATGTGATATTAAAACAAGCAGACTTGAACAGCAAAAGTGGGTCAAAGGCACCAGATTGGTCGATGAGGCGATTGACAGTGTCAATGATTTCGGAAGATAACTTTTCCTCAATGTGCGACACATCAGAGCAGTAAGCATCAACACTAGTCAGTAGAAATGTTCTACGGACGTGGTTTTTCTCTGTGTTGTCAGCTGTGCACACTCCTGTTGATAGAAAAGTCGGACTTTTGGTTTTAAAAAAAAATCAAATAAGGATTGATGTCATAAATAAATTCTAAATTAAGTATTAGAAGAGTGTTGGACTACAATAAAGCTCTAAAATAGATTAATTAGACCAAATAATATGTGTAAATAAAACAATATATGTTCAGTTTTAATTATGATTTTACAAAAAACAAATGTAGATGGTTTGGCAAATACCTTCATCAGTACAAAAAAAATCAAATATGTATAAATTAAAATTAAATAATATATATATATATATATATATATATCTAAATGTATCCTACCTATGACTTCTACCTAGTTTTTATTTAAATATTTCAGTTGAGACATAGAGATGTTTCCAGGCAGGTTAAAGAAACAACTTATTAATATAACAGTATTTAGACAAAGAGCCAACCTCGTTGTCTTCCTTCCTCACTATCATAGAGAAAACTAAAGTTCTGAAAGTCTGGTCTGCCTGAGAGCGTGTCTGTTCTGTCATGGAGGCCTTCCATGATCCCATCAAGACTCCCAACGACCACCACTGTGCATTGTCCAACCTTGACCTTGTAGATATCACCGTATGTTTCATGGAATTTGGTCAGCGTGGTATGTGGGGCTTTAAACAAGGTTTTCACGTGTCCAAATATAGGCCAGGACCAGGGACCTGCCATAAAAAAATTTCTCTGTTTTGCTGCATTTTTATGGTTACCGGAAATTTCTTCGACGGAAAATTGATCGGCGGAAGTTTGATCGAACGGAAGTTTGGTGGAACAGAAGTTTGGTCGAACTGAAGTTTTTTTCAGTTCACACGATCTAATTCTTGTCAAATTTCTTTTTAAACTCACTATACTATATGGTAAAACAAAATAATGGGTCAAAAAATTAGATCGTGTGAACGATTTAAAATTTCTTTCAAACAAATTTACGGATAAGCATTTTTATATCAGTAGATATTGATTCTCTAGATAAATAAGAAGTTTCTGGCATGGCAAGGAGCTGTTCTATTTTTATTTTCAGCGCAATAGACCACAAGTATAGCAAACAAAAAGGTGAGCAGACCAGTGCAAACCATCCCTCACTTTCCTGTGCTTCTGTAGGGGTTGGTACTACAAAGTGTTAGCACATGCTGCAAATTTAAGCAGATCAAATAAATTGCATTCTGTCGATGCTGTGATATGCATAGTTACGGATGGTCTGTTCTATGCAAAGTCTGAGAAGCCTTGTGCTTCTAGACACACTTGACAGTTTAGAGAACCATTAACACAAAACATTTGTGAAAATAAAAATAAATAAAATAGTGTTTTTTTGTAAATCTTATTCCAGATTGTTATTGATACCATTACGAGTAGAGTTTGATACTATGAGGATAATAATAAGATGAATTGAGCTTTATTGAGTACAAGACCAAGTTTTATCTCCTCTCTTTTTTTTAACACTATAAGACCGGAGATTTTCCTAATTTATCAGGTACTAAAATAATTTATATCAAAAGCTTTGAGAAAAATGATGGTGGTGGGGGGGGGGGGGGGGGGGGGGGCACGAGGGGACACGCACTTTGGATGTCATCTTCAGAAACCATAAAAATTGTCATTACTTTTTTAAGGAAGGGTGTTAATTGATCCAGACTTTGCCCCCCTCAGAGGCAGTAGCATAACTAGGTTTAGTTCCATCCACTTCCATGAAAAATCTGCAGTTGGCCAAAAATGCTGCCCATTCAATTTAAGGAAAAAAAAGTAATTGCCACTGCCTTGTGCAATCTAACGAAATTTGAAATTGACTTTCATGGGCATTTTAAAATTAAAATAAAGAAAGAAATAATCACCAGGCAATTTTTTGTTTGGTTTCTCCGAGTGCCATCTCCATCCGCTGATTATCAGTGGTAGTAGTAGGGTCACGGCCAGGACTAGGATGGACACATGAGGTACAAACTCTGCCTGCAGTAGCTCGGGCAGCAACGAGCCCAGGTGCCAGGACGGGGTCGGTTCATCTTCATCTTCTGACATTGTCTGTCCGCCTGCAGCATCTTCCCCACTAAACAGATGTTCTACATAGAAAGTGTAAATCATTTGTTACATTTTACATGTTACTCTGTATATCACTTACATTATAAGGGGTAATTTATACATTAGCTATTTTATATCATGGGGTACTTCCTCTACCATTGTTCCACATGACATTTGGTGATTTGGTATAGAATTGATTCTTGAAAGAAAGAAACTTTTCTGATCATCAGACTGATGCTCAGTTAATGTACATATGATCAATAACTTAAACTGTCATTACAAGTAAACTCCTTCAGTGCAGCACAAGTGTCAAGTCAGCTGAATGATTTTGTAAACAGCAGCCATCTTTTATCCTCAAATCAATATTTCCCTAGAAGCAGATATCCTGTTGGCCTGCCATTGATTCCAGCAGGCAGCAAAATATTGATTGTGTGTGTGTGTGTGTGTGCTAAAAAGATAGCAATATTGAGTAGTGTCCCTTACTAAATCTGACAGCCAAAAAAAATATTTTAAAAAAAAAGGATGAACGCTTGCATCCCTCTATTTAGGGATGCTTAATTAAATGTCCTGGCATTTGAAAACCATTTGCTATTTTAAGAAAAATTAGTTTAAGATATATTTTATAATAATTACCACTTATAATAAACCTTTTTATTTATCTCAGAATTACCAATTTTGTTTCAATGTCAATGAGTGCTTGAGGTAAGAAAATAAGTTTGGTAATTGGTTGAGAAATGATTGGATTTGAACAATTATCCCCACCTCGTCCTATGACAGTTGAAGTTGAAAGGTGATTTAATTCTATTATGGTTTTATAGACAACACATTAAAAAATAAACCATGAAAAGAGTCTCCATTTTTTTTTCTAAATTCTATATTTCAAGATAACAATTTGCAAATAAAACTACATTTCCAACATATTTTGTACATTGTCTAATTTTGTTGTTGAGAAAAAACTCCTAGACTGTCAGGTTTTTCATTGGAATTTGAGAACAGAGTTTACCACACCTATTTGATAACAGAGTTTACCTATTAACGAAAATAGAAAAGATCACATATGTGGCTTATATCAGTGCTTCCTTGTGGTGGTAGGCAAGCTCTCTCTCCCACATGTCATTGGTCAGAAAAACGTGACAAATTTTAAGAAGATCAGAAAATAAAAATAATGGATAAATTGGGACCAAGTCCCTGATGCAAATGGGATTACTTCCCCCAGTTTGAGAAGCACTATTTTATGATCTTTTTTGCAATAGACAATATGCATATATTAAAACTACTGCACACCAAAGAGATCTCTTCAACACCTATTTGAATCAAAAAACCGACCTAACAATAATTTGTTTTTTTTTCTCTTCACGTTACGAGAAAATGCTTCAATTAAAGATTGCTTAATAAACCAGATAACACAAAATTTCACAGCAAACATTGATTCTAACAGATGATCTAAATAAGACTTAAACAGGAAATGTTAAAGACTTAAAAAATTTCACTGTTTAAAAAAACATGCACATAATTGGAATGTAAAATTAAAAACAATACTTACTAAAACAGACCCCCCCCCCCCTCTTATTATATGTTTTCCATCTCAGGTGTCATCATTTAATATAAAACCTTGGGAACTAGAACCAATTTGGTTGAAAAAAAAACATTCAACTAATTGGAATGTAAAATTAAAAAAAAAACTTTCTAAAACCGCACCCCCCCCCCCCTCTTATTATATGTTTTCCATCTCAGGTGTCATCATTTAATATAAAACCTTGGGAACTAGAACCAATTTGGTTGAATTGCCTCAGATCCTAGATAAATGGTGTCATATTTAAGGCAGTTTCTTGAACACTAAAAAAGAAAACCCTACTAAATTATTTTAACTTTGAAAACAAATCTTCAGAAACAACATTTTCTGCATTTTGAGAGCCTGAAATGTTTGGAGTCTCCCACCAAGTTCACTAAGCCGGAACAAAGACTTCTTGCTAATTTTATTTGCTGAAAAGACAACAACTGAGGAGCAGATGAACATACCGGACTTGATATATATAAAAATAACAGTACATCTTTAATATGCCCAATTCTGTCTGCCCATCAGGTAAACTCCTGCCCAATCCAAACTGACATTCAGTAATGCCCTTGTTACAATCAAGACATTGTATATACATAAATAAAATTTAGAAAATAAAAACAAAATATTTATGGCTTATGTGTTCTTAACACATCTGTGTTTATGAATGCATAGCAGCATTCAAAGCAATTTTCCTTTTTTAGCATGAGTGTTTATCAATACATATGAGCTTTCAAAGCATTAGTTAACAACATATAGCTTTTATAAAAAAATAGAACCGACGCTATTTGGAGAACAATATAAGGCATCAACATATAATCAGAGCTAAACAATGATAAAATTAAGTACATCTTTACGGTGTTACACAACACAACCTGTGAGTTAAAAAAATAGCTGACTCAAACAAAAAACTGGTTAATAAACAAAACTGATTGAACAGCCAATCGATTATCATTGAGAAATTTTCAACATGTTAAAAAATATGAAAAGGTTTGTCCAGCCACGAATGTTAAAACAAGACGCAAATATGAAAAATGGACAGAAATTGGACCTCGATTCCAGCAGGTTTTGAGTGAGGTCACTGAACAGCTCAACGTATGGCAGAACAGAAATAACACGGGTGATAAAACGAACACGGTCAAATTTAATGGCATGGTTCCCTCAGAGGTTTGATCAGATAAAAAAACAAAAAACAAGACTGTTTGAGAACCAGTTTCGAGAACTAAAGTTTTATAATTTTAAAAATCAAGAGGACCATAGGTCCCTGGGATAAGGACTTGAGATAAGAAGCTTGCATAATGTTGACATGGTCAAATTAATTCAAGGTAAAAATATTTACAAAATAATCATTAAAGAAAAAAAATCCAAAATTTCAAGACTTTCCTTTATGTTAAACATGCATGTTTAAATTTTATCACATTTGAAACCAGAAAGAACATTATAAAAAAAATTTGTCAAAAACAACAAATCTTTACATCAAAAACACAATTGTGTGTGTTCGTGTGTGCAATTAAAACCAAAAAATATACGGTATCAACATCTTTTCTTTTTCAATGCTACCATAAAATATATTTATTATTTTAAAACCAATGGGTACAAAAAAAAATACTGATATGTACAAATATTTACAAGAAATATACTTAGTTGTTAAGAGCAAAATCAAGAGCTTCTTGAGGATAATACATTCTAATCGTCGGCCAACAAAATCATAAATTGATATTACCTGATAACAAAGTCATTATTTACATGCGTGTAAAATAAGTGTGTAAAAACTAAGCTGAATTACTGATGAATAGCTGTGGTTAAAAAAAAAGACATAAATTTATCTTTGGAAAAAACGGAAAAGTATTTTAATCATAAGTGAAAACTTTGTAAAAATTCTCGAAATTATATTTTGATTAAAAAATAAAATACTACTATTACGTATGGCATCCTTATTTACAGTATGACCCTCTAAAACTGAATGTCAAGCACAGGACCCTAGATAAAAAATAAATTCTCAAAAAATACATGTAACACAAATTGATTGATGTTGACAGCTTAGCTTTGTGCAGGTCAATCATTCTCCAACAACTTCTCTGATTTACAGTTCAGTGAGTTTCACCCATGGGGCTTAAAGCAGTGTGGTGTCAGATAAATTTCTTTTACTTGCTGGCTCCTCCCCATCACCCACTGCCTTTCTCTTGGCTGGAGACTGGGGAATAGATTAATTATTTTCATTACATTTCTTCTTACGCCAAAATTATGACAGGTCAAAGCTCTTTTGTATCTAATTTCTTACGACACGTAAGTCTTGCTACAGCAAAGTCATGCTACATGTAAGTCTTGCTACAGCCAAGTCATGCTACATGTAAGTCTTGCTACAGCGAAGTCATGCTACATGTAAGTCTTGCTACAGCCAAGTCATGCTACATGTAAGTCTTGCTACATCCAAGTCATGCTACATCCAAGTCACACTACATCCAAGTCTTGCTACATGTAAGTCTTGCTACATCCAAGTCATGCTATATGTAAGTCTTGCTACATCCAAGTCATGCTACATGCAAGTCTTGCTACATCAAAGTCATGCTACATCCAAGTCTTGCTACATCCAAGTCATGCTACATCCAAGTCTTGCTACATCCAAGTATGGTACATCCAAGTCATGCTACATCCAAGTCATGCTACATGTAAGTCTTGCTACATCCAAGTCATGCTACATCCAAGTCATGCTACATGTAAGTCTTGCTACATCCAAGTCATGCTACATCCAAGTCATGCTACATCCAAGTCATGCTACATCCAAGTCATGCTACATCCAAGTCATGCTACATCCAAGTCATGCTACATCCAAGTCATGCTACATCCAAGTCATGCTACATGTAAGTCTTGCTACATCCAAGTCATGCTACATCCAAGTCATGCTACATCCAAGTATGGTACATCCAAGTCTTGCTACATCCAAGTCTTGCTACATCCAAGTCATGCTACATCCAAGTCATGCTACATGTAAGTCTTGCTACATCCAAGTCATGCTACATCCAAGTCATGCTACATCCAAGTCATGCTACATGTAAGTCTTGCTACATCCAAGTCATGCTACATGTAAGTCTTGCTACATCCAAGTCATGCTACATGTAAGTCTTGCTACATCCAAGTCATGCTACATGTAAGTCTTGCTATATCCAAGTCAGGCTATATGTAAGTCTTGCTACATCCAAGTCATGCTACATCCAAGTCTTGCTACATCCAAGTCACTCTACAGACAAATCTAGTTACACTAAAGCTATGCAAGATCCACATTGTAACTAGGTCACAGAACACCTAAGACTATGTTACCTACCACTTTAGGTGGTGCCAAGCCATTACTGTTGGGGTACATGAGACTGTAAGCTTTGGCCCTCATCGCTTCATCCTGGAGAAAACATTTGTAAACATCATCTATCATGGGCTAGGGGAAAAATGTCTATGATGTTTCTGTAAACAGGGGACATTCCTAGAGGATAAGGGAGAGTACGTTTTCATAATTTACCTCTGGCAAAACAATTTAATGTCTAGTCAATGATTGAGCAAAGAATGCAAATCCCTGCCAACATAAAAGTTACCTCCAGCCAAGGGTAATCAACATAACATTACCCTCCAACCGAGGCTAATCAACATAACATTACCTCCAGCCAAGGGTAATCAACATAACACTACCTCCAGCCAAGGGTAATCAACATAACACTACCTCCAGCCAAGGGTAATCAACATAACATTACCTCCAGCCAAGGGTGATCAACATAACATTACCCTCCCACCTAGGCTAGTCAACATAACATTACCTCCAACCAAGGGTAATCAACATAACATTACCCTCCCACCGAGGCTAGTCAATATAACATTACCTCCAGCCAAGGGTGATCAA